ACCTCCTCGTCCTGGTGGCAAACTGTAGGCTCCTCAATGAAGTTGGCCACCTCCAGCCTCTCGCCCATTTCCTGCTCGCCGAAGTAGTTGAGCCAGATGTCATCCCGCTCTTGCCTACTGACAGCTGGCTGTCCAGTCGCCGGGTTCAAGAGTAGGGGGAGTGGGCGCTTGGTCGGCTGGGTCTTTCTACCTCCAAACCCCACTCTTTTGACCCTTTGCAGGATCTGGATCACTCCCTGGTGACCCTCAGTGGCGATCTTCCGCATGCTGTCGTTCTTGGCCACGTTGAGAATCTTCTTGATGCGGCTGGTCGCAGTATTGATTGCAGCCGCTGCCAGATTGTACATCAGGCCCTCCCTCGCCACGAGGTAGTCAACATCGTAGTCCTCCTCGCGGTGCCACTGGCGGAAGGCTCGGCTGACAGCGTCCTGCCACATCTGTCGCCGGTGACGGACTCGGGCCTTGAAGTGGTTCTTGGCTCTGCGCAAGTCCCAGACAATGTCAGGGATGTAGGAAGCGCGGCTCGCATGCTTCTCGGCCGGGAAGAGGGTCTCCAGGGTGTCGGCCAAAAAGGTCTGGAGTCTCTGGCAGTGCTGGTCTGCCGGGACCTCCCAGCCAGGGTGCTCATAGGCACAGAGCGCTTCATGCAGGGCCGTTCGCCCCTCTTGGGTTGCCATCCTGTCCCGGTCGTATCGTGGGCGCCATAGACGACGCCCCTCTCGATTGTTGTCAATGGCGCCGCTGCATTTCACCTGCAGCATGTGGTGGTCCACGTTGGGGCTGCCGTTGTCGAACTGTGGGTTGACCCAACTGTCTGTGTCCCCCAGCGTCGCTCGTCCACCCAGGGCAATAAAGTCGATCCGGTGGGCTGTAGCTGACGGGTGCCGGTAGGTCTCGCTGTCCCCACTGTGGACGCTCTCGTACGTGGATGGTATCCAGGCCCCAAGGTTGGCGAGGGTATCCACAAAGGCCCAACCCGCATAATCCGGCTCGCCTAGTTCCACCGACCCAGTCACTCCCATGTAGTTCGGCGGGACCCGGCCGTTGAGGTCCACCCCAATGATCAGGAGGGCTGCATTCTTGATCCCGTCGAGCTCACTGAGGAGCTTCAGGAAAACAGCCCTCTCACGGGGAAGGCTCGTCTACGGGCAATGTCCGGCAACCAAGGCAATCTTGCCGAAACCCGCCGCAATGGTGACAATGAGCAGCCGGGGGTCCTGGTGGCGGGCCGCAATGTCAGCCTCGTTCGGGATCACTGGCCGGTCTTCCACTTGGTCTCCTGCATGAAGACCAC